TCGCCACATTGCACGGCTGAAAGATCGCCACATGCTACTGCACCCTTCATGGGCTGAAATATCGCCAACTTATCCAAAGGAGTCATCGTTCGGAGGCACCATCTCCATAGCCCGAGAGCACCATGTCATGGCCCGAGGATTTCTTTCAATCTTTTGCATATCATTATTCAAAGGCGTCATGGTTCGGAGGCACCATCCTCATAGCCCGAGAACATCATTTCATGGCCTGCGAATCCTTTATTATACGCTTCATGGTCCAGGACATCATGGTCTAAGGACGTCATCATAACCGCCCAAAGACAGCATTCATGGTCCAACGGGAATTTGCATCATGTCTAAATTTACACATAATATATGCTTGTATCGCTCATTTGCAGGTAAACCGGCGAGCAACGACTATCCCAGCAGGAGTGATCCCGCTCTAATTCCTTCAGCCATATCAGAACCTAACCATTCCCGTAAACCGTCCACTCACCCAGCCCTAGATATTGCGTCTGTTCTTGAAATGTCTTCATCGGTATACTTCGCCAATGGATCCTGAACTACATATGGCCTGATTCCTGTAAAACTAGGGATATGTAGGCAGTTCAGAAGCCAGGGTGCGGCCTAAACCTCTTCAAACCATTTCGCTCGATCAAAATTGGCCATCATATCTTTACCCGAAAACTCTTTCATCCTTCCCGGGTAAAGAGGAGCAGCTGTTGACACCCAATTTTTTCATATATATTTTCAATATGCAAAATACTTTCAAAGTAGCATATATATGCATATATATGTATGTCCAAATGTTTTATTATTTTTTCATAATTTTTAAAGGTTTTTAAATTGATTTATTCCCTTTTTCATCCATAAAATCCCTTTTATTATGTTCAAGATTATTATTTTTGATGATTCATTTATTGGATTTATATTTATGCCAAATATGGTTAAGGTAATTTTTGGGTATTTTTATAATTTTATTCAGTATTTTTTAAAGTTAATTGCACATAATTGTAATATTAGCCATTTTTAGGTTTAAATTTGTCTCATATTTATAAAATGGTATCCTATATTTAAATTGTTAATTGTATATTATAAATCATTTTAGTGCTTTCAATTTGTTTTCAGAAATTTATCTANAAAAGGAAAAAGTGGCTATTTAAATTTTAGCCCAAATTGGGTTTCAATTATAACCCAAACCAGGTCCTAATTACCCCAGCCCAATTCTAATTAAACCCCGACCCAATTTCAATTAAACCGACCCAAACCCGGATCCCTACCTACCCTCTTTAATCCAGGTCGTTGATCATTCAGATCAACGGCCAGCATTCACCTTTTCCATTTTTAACCCTGAACGACCCCTAAACCTAAATCATTTCTCACCGCCCGCTGCCTCTGAATCCCTTTCCCTCTCAATTCTCTCTGCAACCTCATATGAACCCTAGCCGACGCCACCTAATTCCACCCTAATCCACCTCAATCCCCACCTAATCCAATGGTCTCCTATGGCCGTTTGAGGTGTATACCGGCCTCCTGCATCTCATGGTGGCCCGTTTGTGCGATTTCATGGCCAGATCTCAAAGAGATCTGGTCCAGCCCTTACTCAACATCCATTCATGGCCTTTCTCCGGCCATCCCTCGTCTTTCTCCGACCATTCGTGGCCGTTCAAGTCAGATCTTTGACTTTTCTGGCTAGAGCGGTAACTTTCAAAGTCTTTCTCACTTTTTCTGGGTTTTCTGAAACCCTAGCTCTAAGACCTTTCAATTTCTTTCAGATCTATCTTAGATCTGTGTTTACTAATGAACTTCTTAAGTGTTTTTCAAAGATTCTCCGATTTCTTTCAAAGTGACTCTTCATTTTTCAACGATTAGGGTTTCTCTTAACTTCTTTTTAAAGACCGCTTCTCTGATTTTTTTGGTTTTGTTTCATGATTTCACTATGTTCAAACAACTTGTTTATGCTTTCCTTCTATTTGATTCAGCATGTTGAAAACCCTAGGTCTTTTGGTCTTATCCGAGTTCTGAAACTATCCTTGTTTGTTTGAGTGTATGCTTGTTCGATTAAGTTCTTTTCCTTGTTTGACTTATCTGATTCTGAGTTCCTATCTATTCTTTAAGCTTGACTTATTGTTAAACGTCCCTTAATTTCTTT